TATATTTTTATTTTATATTTATTTTTTAAAAATAAAAAAATTTAAATTTAAATTATATGATACTTAAATGGGATAAAATAAAAAATATGATAAAATAAAAAATGTAAAATGATTGATTCTCACTTTGTTAAAAAAAAAAAATTATACTTGAAATGCAAGATGTTTTGTTATCATGGATACGTGTTCGAATTCCCATCTAATCAAAACCAGTCAACTTAGTAAGAATTCAGTAAAAGACCTTGGTCCTTAAGAAAAGGAAAGAACGCAAAAGCATAAATATAATGTTGTCTCATTTTGACCATTTCAAAATATGATCCTGTGAACTTGCTTTCTGAATATAAAACAAAGTGTCAACATTTTGCCACGTAGATTGTGCGGCTTCCAGGTTCTACGTCCGAAAAAAGAAGTCAAGCCTTGCCCACTAAAAACTAAAGACTGGCAATCCACGTTTCCATATATCCTTTTCATGCCCTTTAAATTTTATCGAATCACCTATTGTAGAAAAGAAAAAATTTGTAAGAATTACTTTGTGAAATATTTTTATTTGACTTTAGTAGATGTAATTTTTAATTTAAAATATTTAAATTTTATTGTTTATTTTTTATAGATATTATTTAATGTATATATTTTTATTTTATTTTTAAAATAACTATAACATATATTAAATATTAAGGTTTATTTAAGTATAAATTAGATAAATAATTTAAATAATTTATTGATATTTTTTTATGAAAATAAAAAAAAACTTCTTTTTATGAAAATAAGAAAACTTAAATTTGATTTATATAACATGCAAGTAGAGTAGATTAAGAGATAAAAAAAAGTATCTCTTCTTACGTAATCGAAGATAAAAAAATATTAATTAATTAAAGATAAATAAAAAAGTTTATCAATTAATTACTACATTCTTAATTATTATAATTAATTAAATATCCCAATTTCTCAAATTCCTTTTTATTTTTCTTAAAATGTAATCAGATCTATACTTTTTCTTTTTCTTTTTTAATTATGCTTGAAATGATCGAAATGGTTTTGATATCTTAGGATACGTGATCGAATTCCCT